ACTCTCCTGCACCTCTGGGGGGAGTGCAAACTGGTCCAACCACTATGGAAAGCTATGTGGAGATTCCTCAACCTACTAAACATAGAGCTTCCATATGATCCAACAATTCCATTCCTAGGTATTTACCCAAAGGACACAGAATCATTAATTTGAAAGGGCACCTGCACCCCTATGTTTATAGCAGCACTATTTACAATAGCACTATTTACACTAGCTATGGAAACAACCCAAATGCCCAAAAACAGATGACTGGATCAAGAAGATGTGGTACATATACACAATGGAATATTCCTCAGCAATCAAAAAAGATAAACTCATGCAATTTGTAGCAACATGGATGGAGCTGGAAGGGATCATGCTCAGAGAAATAAGCCAGAAGAAAAAGAAAATTACCAGATGGTCTCACTCATAGCAGGAATTTAGAAAACCCAAATAAGGGGCCAGAAAAAAAGCCTAATTGTTATAAAGAAAAAATTCAAAATCAACAAGCAACTATAAACCAGAGACACACTACGGGGACTGGGAGAGGAGGGATTAGGGCCAAAATTAGGGGGATGCAATTGTATGGGGAATATAACCAAAAAGAAAATGCATACATTTTGCAAAAATGAAAAATGATGTAATAATTATATAAAATAAAATATAAAAAAGATTTTTTTATAAATACTTTTAAATAAGTGGCACATCTATTTCTGAAACTTTTATTATTTTAGTATCAATGATTTTTGCATGTAAAATATCTATTCTCATTGATGTATGATTTATTTTTTGCATTCATTATATAGGTTTTCATGGATGAAAAATGTGCTGAAATTACTACCTAACATATTTGCTAAATGTAGAGAATGAAAAAGTTCTGCTTTGTGGAAGAATTAAAATAACCACTCTATTTTCTAAGTTTAAGATTAAAATATAGATATCCTATTAAAAGATAAACATAAAAGGGCCTCCCTGGTAATGCAAGGGGTTAAGCACAGCACTATAAAGCAATCTGCAGCCTCTGCAGCACAAGTTCGCTCTCCAGCTGGCCAGGGAGTAACCCACATGGTGCAGCAGACCTCTCCTGTCTCACCCGCTACTGCCCTCAGCAGTGTGTTTCAGCCAGTCTGCCTGTTCTGTTCCCTACTCTGTGTCTGGTGAATCCTCTCACCCTTGTATCTCTGGCCTGTACCCCAGCTCTTGTATGCATTAATAAATAAATCTTTAAGAAAAAAAGGATAAACATAATAGAAAATATCGGCTGGTTCAGTTTAAGATTCTAAAAATGCAAGCACATATCACCAATCACTAAGTGCTTACTACATACTCAGAGAAGCCCCTGATTACTATTCTGGAACCAATAAAAAAGACATTATTCCTAGTAATTTAATTAATTATTCTATTAAGTATAAACTCTTTATACTATCAACTCAGAATTCAAGATCTTGGACCTAAGTCCTGGATTTCTTTTTGTCCCTAGAGAGTCCCTTTTATATCTCTGTCTCCCTTACTTAGTCCAAATACGTGGATTCCTGTCCTTGTTACTGGTTTGTCCTCAGGTTCTTCTTCATCAGTTTAAACCTTGTTAGTGTTCAGAGACCTAAACATTTCCCTGACCTTTGTCAGCTTCCAGTTCTTAAGGTCTCAACTATCTCCTCTGGATTTTTTAGATGAATATTTCCCTATGATCTCTTTCTGTTTTTTCTGACTTCAGAGCACTAACAATTACCCAGAAATCCATTTTTTAGTCTCCATCCAACGAATCTGATTCTCTTGGATGTTAGCACAATCTTTAATCAAATTTCTGCCCCTCTGAGAACATGATTTGGAGAACCAGATTTTCTAAAACTGGGTATAATGTGTGCAAGGTATGGAAGAAATCGGAATGCCCCTGTGGAGTCAAGGGTCCATTACTCAGCCTATAGTCCAGAGGAAGTAAGGAATATGGCACTGAAGGCAAAAACTAATGTGAGCAGTACTAAAGCAGACATTGCTAAATCATATTATGGTCTTCATGATTTTATGCCAGTTGGAAAATCGTTAAAGAACAAAGTTTTCAAAATGGAGGTACCACCAAGCCTTGAGTACTATGTAAATTATGGCAGTTGTAAAGGGTTTTGATTATGTAGACACATTTGTTAAAGAGGATAAGATAAATTAAGGGTTTTTCTCATGTTGATGATACATAGCCATCAAGGAAATAGTGTAAGAGTCAAAATGCCTTTCATAAAATAATAGCAAGTAAGACAAAACAATGAACAATTTAATGCTTAATTTTCTAAGACTTTAAAAACAATAGAGTTGGAAGAATTCAATCAAGAAGAAACTGATACTTGATCCTGAACAAGATAAAGAAAAAGCATGGAGATAACATTCATGAAACAATGGATTCATCAAATCAGATGTACCATGGCAGGAATCAGAGTTGAATTCTCAAGGTAGAGAAAATTAGTCTATTTCAGAATCATGCCAAAGAGTAGCAAGAAATTCATTTAGTCCAAGGAAAGCAAGGGCTACTTGAAGGCCAGGAAAAGGAGATGAGTATAGATATAGTCAAGACATGAAAACAACAGATTTGGAGCAAGGCAAAGATACCTTCACCCATTACAAATATTTAATCCATACATTTTTCTGTGTTAAACTAATATTTCTGAGAGTAGTCTAGATGAGTTAATTCACATTTAAATTGTAATTGACTACACTTGCGTTCTTTGGGAGTAGCACAGGAGGAACTTTGGAGGCCATTGTCAAGCCAAAGGAGAGTAAGTCCTCCACCCCTGAGACTCACTGCTTTGATGTGGTTTATAAGTTGTGTTTCTCTGTCAAATTTGCTTCAAACATAGCTTTAGCAGGTTAGAATACTGCAACCAGTTATAGGTGGCAAAATAATAGAAATGGAAAGGCACATTAAGAATAAAAAATATTTCAAATTAATGGCTACTTGTCTCAAAAATGTCTGGTGCTCACTAAATCTTTTGGTGCTCAATTTGGAGCTCTATAAACCTTTTCAAATTTTTCAATCAGAGCTAAGAGATCTGGAAGCCTCAACAAAGACCAAATCAAATCCAACACTAAAATAGGTACATCATATATCCAGAGACTTTATATGCATTGCAAACCTGCAAAATATGTGGGTCTGGAGACTCTTAATGAGGAATAATTCACTAGAGATTTTTTGCGTAAACCAAGCAAGGCTTTTTATTAAAGGCTCAGGCATGAGGAAAAACAGTATTAGGAAGAAGAATTTTGACCTGGTTCCTAAGGGGAATTAAGAAGAAAAGTTTTAAAAGAACAGGTGCATGTGGCAGGGCAGAGGGAGTAACATCATAGTTCGTTATGGGTTGGGCTATGTCTTGGCCTTCCCACATCAGGAAATTGTAAGACAATTATTAATCAGGATTTGACACTTCTTGTTCTGGTATGGTGCCTCTGGTTGATAGGGCAGTTCATTTGTTTGTCAGGATATCAGAGTAGGGGTCACTAGTCCACCTGTTCGAACAGAAGGGTGGGGAACCCCAGCAGCTGAGGCCTCAGATTTGGGCCAGTGAGCCCAATGGTCCTGGAGTCTTGGAAAGAATTTTGGACACCAGGGGCATGGAGGATTCTGGACACCAGGGGCAGAGATGCCCAGCCAACCTCTGAAAGAGGCAGCTCTGAGGGAATGGCAAGGAGGGGCTTCCACATATTAGTCAGTTCACCCCCACCCTGTGTAATTCCCCACCCACCCCTTGGTATAAATTCTGTTTATAAATTATAGAAGAACTGGGACATTTTACAGAAGAAAAAAAAAATACAAAGAAAAATTGGAGCTGAAATTATCTGTCACCATGGACTGAAAGAGCAGAATATGACTTCTCACACATTTGTTCAGAAATTCACTGGCATTTAGTGACAATGACAGGTTAGATGAGAAGAGTAAAGATAATGCCTCCAGAAGGTCATTGTTAAAATATTCCTGCTTTTGCTGATCTAAGAAATACCTTTTACATTGATATATTACTAAAACTTCTTAATATTTATTCCTTCTAACATCAGTTTATTAATCAGAGGGAGCAATGCCTTAAAGAAATACATGTCAGTTCAAAGATGATACCAGGAAGTTCCCACAGGAATGCATGCGGGTAAGAACTCAATATGCAGGGCATCTCCATAAAAATATGAAAGTCCCAGGCCAGAATCCAGCCATGGCTATTTCGGGACATCAGGCAAGAAAGGAGAGAAAAGAAATTCATCACCTTGAGGTAAGATGACATGCCCCAAAGAAAAATGGGTCTTCATGAATTCTGCCCTTGCTTAATGTAAGACAATTTTGGTTACTGCTGAATTGTAATATGGAGTGGAGAAGGAGAAAGAAAGAAAAAAAGAAAAAAAACATTATCTTTAGTCTTTTTTAATCTAGGTGATTCTGATTACTTAGATGAATCTGCTCATTGAGTGATTAATTTGCTCACTGGTTAATTAGAATCTTACCAGTCTTTATGGTCATTCATTACTGAAGTGTCAACTTCTACCTATCTAAGTTGATATGACCCTGAGTTAAACATCTAGAACTGCCTTTGATTCTAAGTTCTTCCTGAGTGCCCAAACACTGGCACTTTCAAAGGTATCACACCGCAAGTTCACATCATTATCTTCTCCACAATATTGTTGTTTTTTTTAACCATCCTCAGTTAATTCAGTGAATGGCACCTACAATCTTAAGATGCTAATTGGCAGATAACTATAATTTGATTAGCCTTTAATGACATTGAATAGTTTTAAGACCTCATTTTCCATTTATAATTTATAGCACGATGTACTAACTTTCTATTTATAGGATTCATGAAAAAATTGGAAATAAGTTCATGCAATTAAAAATTGGGTTGACTTGTAGAAAGTATCAAACCAAACAGTCCATGAACTATGCAAAAAAGTTAGCTATAAAATTGACACACAAATAACTGATTTTAAAATTCTGTCACAAGGCTTAAATATCCTCTACATGGTGCTATCTTTTCATCTTCAGTTCTTACTGTTCTTACCTCTGCTTGAATGGTATGTTCCAGTCACTGTTACATTGCCTGGCACACAGGTCCATTAAATCCTTTCTTGTCTTTTCCAATATCAGTCATTCTGTTTGGTATTAAACTCTCTAATCATGAGTAAATGGATCCTCTCCATCCCCATTTATCTGCCTGGCAAATGTCTCCTCCTGTATTAAAATTAATCAAAATCCAGCTCACTACAATGATGTTTTAGATTTACAAATTTATCCTCCCAAGTTGTTAACCTTCAGCAACATGTATTAGTCTCTTTTTGTGTCTCTAGTCACTTGCCACAATGCTTAAATCAGGAAGCTAAAAATTGTTTTCTGAGTGATCATTTCTTTGATATTGGAAATTAATGTATAATATATTAAAGCTACAAGTAAACTGTCTCTCAGTCCTAGATGGCAACTCCACCAAAGACTGTTGTTGACCATGTTTTGTTTTCAGACTCTAAACAGAGCATATACAAAATCCTGCGCACTTCAATCTCCAAATGTTGCTTCCAGAGGCCAACTTGTCCTAATGGAAATTCTCAGCTCTACCTGCTTTCCTTTCTTTTAAAGAATCTCTTTAATTTAAAGTCAATTATATTAAGTTTTCTGTCTTGCATCACAGGATGTTGGGGACATTATTCCAAGGCCTTCAGCTTAATAGGTAAAAGAGCAAATGTCCCTTCTCCCTCAGCATAATGTATCAGTGATTTCTAAGGATAATTTAGTTTAACACTCCACAAGAGATTGGAATATTTGCCAATGGTTTTGTTTTCTGGAAGGGAATTATAAGTTTTAGAGCACAGTACTGCATCAATTACTTATAATTACTCTTTGACATTAATAATAACAGAGCATTTCTGCCTGAATGTGACTTTAAGTAGCCCCTGGTATTTATTTTATTTCCTCAAAAATCTGGGGCCTCCCCGGTGGCGCAGCAGCTGAGCGCTGGGTTGCGAGGCTGCCCGCAGCTTCTGCAGCACTGGTTTGATCCCCAGCCACCTGCGAGGGTGCCACATGGCACACAGACCTCTCCTGCTGCCTGCTGCTCCCCTCAGCAGTGTATTTTGCCGGCCTGCATGTTCTGTTCCCCGCTCTGGCTCTGGTGAATTCTCTCACCCTCCCACACTTCTGACTGTACCCAGTGCTTGTATAAATAAATGAATAAATCTTTAAAAAATATATTTTACTACATATATTTATTTATACTACCTACCATATGTATGTATATATGTATGTATATATGAGAAGAATGGTCTTTAACAAAGGAGGTCAATCAGACTATATTTGGGTTCTTGCTTGTATGTTTTTGCTGTTTCAGAAGAAATCATTTCTGTCGATTCTATTCAACCCATTTTGGATATGGAGGTAAGGGATGATGAATTCCTCAGGACAGCACCACAATGTCAATAGCCTATCCCAATTATCCCTTTACAAGTTGTGGTACCCAAATCATTCTGTTTTAAAAGACAGAGTGCTCTCACAATTTTTTCTATTTATTTAAGTATCCTTTAATCTGAACTGTAAACTATGGAGATTGCCAGAGAAGGCAAAGTGTTTTTGTGCCATAAAATAAAGGAGTTGGAAGTTCCCAAAGCAGTGGAGAAAAGACTAGGATCTCAAGTTAGGAGAGCATATTGAGAGGAGCTTACTATTCATAACTACTTGATGAGCAGTCCAAATGAACATGTAATTATTTCCATTTAAATACCGCTCAGGTCAAGATTACTGGCTTTGAAGATGGAAGAAGGGAACCATAAATCAAGGACAGTAGGTAGCCTCTAGAATCTGGGACAGGTAAGGGAATAGATTCTTCCCTAGATCCTCTGAAAGGAATGCAACACAACAATACCTTGATCTTAGCCCAATGAAATACATGTTAGCTTTCCAATATATAGAACAGTTAAAATTATAAATCTGTATTGTTTATACCACTGAATTGTTACAACCACAATAGAAAACTAATGTTATTAGAAATGTCAGGAATTTTCATTTACCATCATTACTACTTCATTAGGACCTTCTTCCCAGCTTCACCAAAGACAACTCATAGGACCAAAGGAAGTCCCTTATCACTTAGCAGGATGGTATAATAGCATATAAAGACCCCACATTGGTATTTGGGGGTGAAACTGAATTTACTGACTACAATCACAGGAAGACACCTCTGATTTTATGATAGAAGTTTGCTCTCATGTCCACATTGCAGAACACATATCAGCTCTGTCTGCAACTACCCTATCCTCTATATCAGAATTGGAGATCCACTGCTTCTTCACCAAGAGATGATGATTTGAAACCCATGCCTTTCCTCACTGTTGTGTATTTAATCCCTCCCTCTGAAATGAAAACTTCCTGCTGTGTATTTTAAACACCATCAAGTCTCTTCAATCAGCAAACATTCAAAAAAAAAAAAAAAAACTTACTTCTATTTGCTTGCTTTACTTATCCCTGCCCAGTCTAGTCCTGAACAAATTACATAAAATTGGTCAAAATGTTTATTCTAAACAACTAATTCTAAATCAACCTATCTTGTCTTTATCTAGTACCTCAGGAAAAAAATGCTCTCTATAATAGAAATACTGCTACTTCATGTCTCCATGTATTATCTCCCTTCTTTTTTCATTTATGTCAATCCTAGAGCCATGACTCTCCCTAATCACCTATTTGTCAGAGCAATGACCTCTGGGTCACTAAATCCAATGGATAGAGCAATTGGCATCCTTGACCTCTCCCAATGTCTTCAAACATTCCTTTACTCAAACATTTGCAAAGAACTATTCTCTAGGTATGACACATTTTTTCTCCATTTCACCTGACAGTTTGACAAATGGGGACTACATTTCACATTATATAGGGAAGTAATGCCTGATTAGGTAAAATCCTTCTATAATATATTTAACACAATTGTTTTTTAAATGCTGACTTGTGATTGATTACTGTCTCTCTTCCCTATGGAAATGGAAGTTCCTTGATGTCACACCTATGCATGTTTTTGCTCACAATTATATGCATAATTCCAAAAACATTGTCAAGAGCAATCCTAAGAACAATGATAAGAACTAAAAAAAAAAAAATTCTCAGTGAATGATAAATTTAAAAAAGGAAAATAATACATAGAAAATATGTTGAAAAAATACTACCACTCAGTGAGTCTTATGTGTGGTAAGAACACATTAAGCACTTTGATGCCTCATCTTATGTAATCCTTCAAATGACCTAATGAAAACAGTAGTCCCATTACATGGATTAGAAAACAAGACATAGAGAGGATAAACTTTCTGTGACCTCACAAGTAAAAGTGGCAAAATGAAGACATGGAATTTTGATGTACTTATCCCAAAGCTCATGCTATGTGGTTTTATATACATTCAGTCTTTATTTAAAATTTCAATATTTTTCTATAATGGGTTTTTGTTTTTAGCATCAACTTTGATTTTTTTTTTCATTGTGCATTAAACTTTTCTCTTAGAAAATGTGGTTTTGGTGTCTCATTAAATTTTGCACCTGAGACAAGTGCCTCACTTACCCTTACTTACTCCCATCCAAGTCTGGCCTTGCACAGATTATACAGCATTTGGTAAAAAATGTTTATCTGAAAAAAAAGTAATACATGGAATTAATTAGGTGATAGGAATCAGTCTCTCTAAGGGTGATTGGAAAAACCAGTATTTTTAACCTGAATCAGAAGATTGTGAATGGGTTTAATAACAGACTCCATTCCGCAGTAAGGTACTGAGCAATGATCTGAAAGAACAGTGACAGATGATTCTTTTTATTAAAATAAATTTTATTTTTATATTCCCCATACAATTGCAACCCCCTTATTTTGACCCCAATCCCTCCCCTCCCCGCCCCCCACCTCCCTTAGAGTGTCTCTGGTTCGTAGTTGTTTGTTGATTTTGATTTTCACTTTCTTATAGTTATTCATTTTCCTGGTCCCTTATTTAAGTTTTCTAGATTCCTGCTATGAGTGAGACCATCCGGTATTTTTCTTTTTCTTTCTGGCTTATTTCACTGAGCATGATCCCTTCCAGCGCCATCCATGTTGCTGCAAATTGCATGTGTTTATCTTTTTTGAATGCTGAGTAATATTCCATGGTATATATGTACCACATCTTCTTGATCCAGTCATCTATTTTTGGGCATTTGGGCTGTTTCCAAAGCTTAGCTATTGTAAACAGTGCTGCTATAAACATAGGGGTGCAGGTGTTCTTTGGAATGGATGTTTCTGTGTCCTTTGGGTAAATACCTAGGAGTGGAATTGCTGGATCATATGGAAGCTCTATCTTTAGTAGGTCCAGAAATCTCCACACAGCTCTCCATAGTGTTTGGCCAGTTTGCACTCCCACCAACAGTGCAGGAGAGTTCCTTTACCACAGCCAAGAGCAGAAGGAGAGAGACAGAGGCGTCCAGGATTTTCCATGCAGACATAAAAACATATTTATGTTTGACACAAACCTTAATTTTACCACATTCTATTGGTCAAAGTAGATCACAAGGCCAGACCAGATTCAAGACTATGTCTTTACGAGAGGAGTTGCAAAGTTAGGCTAAGGGGTGTATTCAGACAGGAGAATAATTCAAAACATTTTTGCCAAGAGTCTACCACAAGTAGCAACGTTAGTACCACCATACAGTTATAGGCAAAGAGTAAACTAATTACTATTCATTTGTAAGTCTTCAGGAATTTTGTTGGCAAGAAATAACATACTGCTGTTTTATTTTGCTTGTTGATGATTAGTGAACCTCATTTTGATAAATGTGGAAACCACATTTAATAATAGTTTAATCATCTTGGGGGGAGAAGGGATAATTCTCAAACAAGAAATACTTTTTGTTTGTTTGTTTGGGTGTTTGTTTTTAGCCTGACAGAAGAAAAATCCATACCCTTCACCAGTCCCATCTGCCCACTGAACAGATTTAGGTCAATTCTTAGAGACACGATCATTCTGTTTGGGCATAGTTGTCTGCAGTAGGAAAGGTCATGGGCAAGGTAGAAATGAGAAGATACCAAGCAGATAGAATCTGCTAAAGTCCTCTATTAAAAATTAATTCTCTGACCAACAGTTAATGACCTCAAAGGTAAGGAGAAATATTTTAGAACCACTCGGGAATGGACTAACCAGATAATCTTCTGGTGCCAGCCTTTCCTGTCCATATCCCATTGAAGGAATGAATTAGAGAAACAGTTTCTCTCAGTTTACTGCCTCAAAAAAGGTTTTATTATTAATGGAAATTGTTACAGAAAAACTTGAGGGTTTTTTCCCCCATGCATTGTTTATATACCTGTTTAAATTCAAATTTGAGCCAGCAGCTAGGGAAATAATATTTGAAGTGTATGGCAAAAATCTCATATGCTGAAGCCTGATTTATCCAAAAGCATAAATGCTGAATTATACACCTCCCACTTACTCTAAATTGAACTGCCCACATCTTTGTGGGGCTGCCCACAAGGTGTCTAATGAGTTATATGCCAGTGCTTATTTAACAAGAAAAGAAACCAAATAGAGCGTAACTGAAACCTGGGTACATTTTGTTTTTGTTTTGTTTCAGAAAGCTGTCAGATATTTCAGTCCAATCTTAAAGTTGTTGCTTCCCTTTATTGCAAGTCGACTTCAGAATTTTAGTTACCTCTTGCTACAAAAGGTTTCAGTTTACAGGGTGGCAGGAAGAATGAAGATAGATGGTTGCTGGGTCTGGTTGGTCATACCAATTTGTACTGCAATCTAGGTGCTGCAATCTCTGAGATTTGAGTTTAAATTCGTGCCTTGCAGCTTTAGAAGAAAGATGTGGTCTGCATACAGCTGTAGATCAACGCTGCAGGTTTATTCACAGGATGAGGCATCCATCATGTTCGTGCACAGGGTATTTCAGAGGATAAAGAAAAGGAAAAGAAAAAGAGATGGGATGAGAGGAAAAAAGAAGGGAGAAAGGGAAGGGGGAAGAAAGAAAAGGAATCAGGAAGGAAAGAAGGTGATCTTGTTTATTTTTTTAAAATGGTGCAGTTACAGCAAAATCTTTCAGATAACAAATCATGGTTCACTCAAAGAAAATGTTGTCAGTCAAACATAAAAAATTATTTAATAAATACATGTTTAATAAATGTCTAAAATTACTAACTTCCAATACATACTAAATAATAAATATGTATGCAGTATTTTTACTGGCATGTATTTTTTATTAATCCAAATTAATTGCTTTTTGAAATTCTTGCCTTAAGAACAAGACTTTCTGACTTGCTGCATAAAATGCCTCCAATATCGAAATATTGAAATATTGGCATTGGAAAGGTTTCGTATGATTCATAATAAAAAAATGCTATTTCCAAATTATCACACTAAATTTGTAATGAAGTCAAAGCACCTTTCCTATTCCACAAATTTAAAAAATGAGCCACATGACAGGATAGGAAGCTCTAACTTTATAATGCATCTACATTCCAACTTTTAATGATTTGGTGTCTAGTCTTTGAAGAAACTCATCTGACTCTTTTCACATGTGATTGTTTTTCATTCCTGTCTTCTTGTCCAATCCTGGAAAAGACAGTAAGAAATAATGTATTCTCTTGATAGTGAGGGAAAATATCTAAGTGCCTATTTGAACTAGAGGCTTCCACGGAGGGAGAATAGAGCTTGCAGCTGGAATTTTCCATATTTAGTTTCTTTTTGCTTGTTTGCTTATTTCTTCAACAAACAAACACTTTGCAAAGAAAAATATTTTCTTCAAGCTTGGTGATGAATTAAGATTCAATTAGTGAAATTGAATGCTTAAAAATTAAAAATGATCTTCTAGAAAGAAATAGATAACTCATGTTTCTTTTGTTTAAAAAATCAGAGCAGATTTTCTATACTTAGTACAGACTAACCGTCTTGCACATAAGACAACTTAAGTTTTTGCATAGACAAAAAGGAATTAATGAATTCATTTAATAAAGAGGAAAGTTCTGTGTTTAAATTATGCAATTAAGAAAGTTTCTCTCCGGCCTCCCCTGGTGGCTCAGCGGTTGAGCACTGGGCTGCGAAGCTGCCCTCAGCCTCTGCAGCACTGGTTTGATCCCGGGGCACCTGCGAGGGTCCCACAAGGTGCAGCAGACCTCTCCTGCCGCACCTGCTGCTCCCCTCAGCAGTGTACTTCATCAGTCTACCTGTTCTGTTCCTTGTTCTGTCTCTGGTGAATTCTCTCACCCTCCCGTGCTTCTGACTGTACCCAGTGCTTGTATAAATAAATGAATAAATCTTTAAAAAAAACAAAAGAAAGAAAGTTTCTCTCTTGGCACCTCCCCAGTGGTACAGCGGGTCAAGCACAGCCTGTGAAGGTGTCTGCAGTCTCTGCAGCATGGGTTCGATTCCCAGCCAGGCAGGGAGAAACCCACATGGTGCGATAGACCTCTCCTGACTCATCCGCTGCTCCCCTCAACAGTGTATTTCTGTCAGTCTGCCTGTTCTGTTCCCCTCTCTGTCTCTGATGAATCTTTTCACCTCCCTCGCCTCTGGACTGTACCCCAGCTCTTGTATAAATAAATAAAATCTTAAAAAAAAAGAAGAAAGTTTTTCTCTTCTCTAAGTCTACTCTCTTGATTCTATCCTCCAGGTTAGATAATCCTCTGATGGTAAAGTGAGGTCATAGGAAAGCTTAAAGTAATAATTGAATCGTCAAATAACTAATCCAGGTGAGAAATGTCTTCCTTCTTCAACCAGTTCTAAGAGAAGACTTTAATTTTATTCATATAAATATGAAAAATCATGTTTTCAGAAACTATCACATTTATATTTCTCATAGTAAAACCAACAGAGAAGGGGCATCTGTCTTTGGGCATTTGTCTTATCGATCAATAACCACTAACTCATACTTAAGTAAACATAGTCATCAGCTTAGAAGTATTTACTACAATCCATAATCTGTTTTTTCAGTTATCATTCTACATTCCCTGCCTCCAAAGAATCAGTTTAATCATGTATGTGATGATGCTAAGAGACAGTTTAAGACCTTCAGAGGCCCTAACTACTGCAAAGATGATATTCCCATGACACATAAGTGGTAATTAGTACCAAACTATCAGATTAAGTATTAGAAATTGCAACAAGTTTCTGATTTTCCCCATAGTAACTTTGAATTTTAAATTTTAAATACATACAGACATCTATATCATATATAAAATTACTTTTATATAAAAAAGATCTGGTGTTCTTGTTTGCTAGACAACACAAAAATTTGACCTGCCTCTGGGGGTTCCAGAGTGACATTATCTCAAACATCAACACTGTGGTAGCAAGAGACTGTAACTAACATTTAATCTCTATTTCCTTTTTTCCCACTATCTTTAATATTTTAATTAGGAATCATTTTAATAGAAACATTTGAATTACCTAATATAGTCTTTAAACAACAGCCCAAATAGAGAAAAAAAAAATGTTTCCCTTAAATAGAATTGTCAGTTTTGCTGAGCATTCAGAGTGGCTAAGTAGATGGTGCTACTCCGAATTAGCTCTTTAGTTTTCATTAAAGCATTATATTGAATAAGTTAAACATCTCTGCTCCTAATTTAAAATGGTAATGAGAAGCTGAAAATAAAAGGCAATGCAATAAGAAATA